AGTGTAGTTAGAAACTTAAAGAACCCGTCCGGTTCAGTTCGGTATGGTACACATGTATTGGTGTTTCTACTGTCATGAATACTTTTTTGGCACGCTTCTGTTGGGGTGCCAAGCGTACTGAACCGACCTAAAGGTTGGAGCTAGAACACTGCAGTCTGTTGATTGGTCGAAAGAAGAATCTTCACTTGACAGCGGTAAATAAAGGACAAACACAAAACGCACCACGTTTTGGAGAGAGTCATTAAAAGGCTGTTTTTGTTTTTATGCGACTATATGTCAGCGCGTAGCTCCGCCCCATGGACGACCTGGGAGATGCAATCATTCATTTTTATTTACTGTGTCAATTCTTCTTCTTCTTTATTGAATGTCTTGGCTGTCTGTCGTGCCGCTGTTGTTTTATGATGTACGGTTGGCTGTTGAAACGCAAGCAAGATCAGGGTTTACCGTGTCAGACTGTACTGAACCAAACCAGACCGCTTGGTGGAAACGGGGATTTAAGGCCCAGGTTCAGTTGGACATTTGTGAACACCTTATAGAGGCAAATAAAAACACATAAAGTGCAGACTGGCTCTTGTATAGTGTTTGCTTCCTCTCTTATTCAAGTACTGCTACGTGTTGCTTTTATCCGTCCCTAAACATTGGCTGTTATTGTGTAAGTTGAAAAGTTGTTTTAGGTAAAAGAGTCTGCAGGACAGTAAACTAAACTGAGCGCACATTCGTGAGTGTGTGTCCTCAGTGAAGTGTGTCAGTCTCTGCAGAAGCTTCCTGCTGCAGCAGTCAGTCTGGTTTCTGTTCAGGCTGACTGAGGGAGGTTTTTGTACGACGCTTTTTCACTGTGTGAACACCAACTCACTGTTGATGATATGAAAACTCTGACAGTAGTAAACTGCTGCGTCTTCAGTCTGGACTCCACTGATGGTCAGAGTGAAGTCAGAGTTTGATCCACTGCCTGTAAAACGATCTGAAGTCCCTGATTCTCGAGTGCTACCAAGTAAATCAGCAGTTTAGGAGTTCCTCCATCTTTCTGTTGGTACCAGGCTAAGGAGGGTTCGTCGAGAGTAGTATCTACATCCTCACTGGTTGTACATGATAAGGTGACGGAGGCTCCCAGAGCAGATATCACTGCTGCAGGCTGAGTCACTGTGACCTGTCCTCTGGACTCTGAGGAGACAGAGACAAACACATGAAGCAGCATCAGGGTTGTGTGGGCTTCATTTCAGAGAGACGGATGTTCATAGAGGAGAGGAGTTTGATTGTCTGGACTTTACCTGTGAAGCAGCAGCAGAGGAGGAGAGTCCAGATGAGGACGCAGATCAAAGTCATGTTTTTGGATGACGAGGAGGAGGAGGAGGATTTCTGTGTCTCCTGTTGTGATGAAGGACAGCTGTCAGTCCTGCAGTGTTCAACTCTCAGGACTTTAAACTCTTCCCGAGCACTGGAGCATGCTGCTGCTCATGCAAAGTGGCTCTTTATGGAAATGCTCTGACTAACTGGGGACTTGGATTATACTAATTATAAAGTTATTTTTTTTAACTTTCAATAAGACATGTTTTTAAAACCGTGTTCATGCTTCTGGAGAAATCCCCGGAATAAAATGTCTTCATTTTGAATATTAATGGAAATGTATTCTTTATACTTTTCAGTTCATTTGAAGGTTTTGCAGATAAGAGCATTTTTTTTACTTTCTTTAGTGAGAGGTTTTTGTACGGCGACTCAGTGAGTTTGCATCACTGTGGTACACATTTGGTGGAGGAACCAGACTGGATGTTGGAAGTAAGTCAAATATTAACCCTTTGTATGTCAAGAGATTATTTTATTTTGAAATGCAAGGCTGAAAATGACTGACCCAAACATTTGTGTGCATGTTTTTCTCTGTATTTAGACTAAAAACGAATTTTTAATGAAACACAAAATCGTATCAAAATAAATGTCAAATCTGAAGCCAAAGTCATCATTTGTTCCAGAGTAAATGAGTGTTATCATTGTAAAGGTGAAGTTGCATCTTGAGGGCTGGTAGTTTGAGTACGATGTGTTGAAGTCAGAGAGCCGTGTCTCTGTGCAGTGAGAGGTTTTTGTACGGCGACTCAGTGACTTTGTATCACTGTGGTACACATTTGGTGGTGGAACCAGACTGGATGTCGGAGGTAAGTTTCTGTTGATTTCTAAACAGTGTAATGTAATCGTGATTTTTTTTTTTTCATGTACAATATAAAGAAACATTTATACATTTTTACATTATATTTTTTTCCTGTTTGTGTTTGTCCTCCTGTACCATCTCAGGACAGATCGTTTACATTCAGTTCAGCAGCTTCAGATTCATAAAAAATAATTCTCTGGTTTCAGATATCTATTCCACATCAACGATAACTCTTAAAGGCCCTTATTTCATTTTGTCATTTTGAATAAATTGCTCAAAGGGAAGTTGTAAGAATTTTGAATGAAAATGTTCAAAATCTCTGATCTCTTTCTGCAGATTATGTCACTTAAGATTTTTTAGCCTTTTATGATTTAAAACATGTTTTATTGATAGATTTGGTTCATGTTTCCACTCAACAGTTAGAAAAACAGGTATTTCAAAGGTTTGAGTGATTTGATGATTTTTCAGCGTTTTTATTTTAAGTCCAGTGTATTCTGGTCTCTCTGTACGATGATCGTCTCTGTGTTGATTTGCATGACAGATTTCTGAGAGGGAAGTGAAACAATGTGTGAGTGACTGCTGAAGCAGAAAAAAACATCTGACAGAAACTCCTTAAAGGAGAAACTCTGCTTTCAACTGCAAAGGTGTCCAGGAGTGATGTGTTTGACTGACAGCTGTGTGGTTCCTGTCCTCTGTTCTGATTGGTGTCTCCTAGGTGAAGCCCGTCCCACCTTGATGGTTCTGCCCCCTTCCAATGAGGAGCTGCAGCAGGGGAAGGCCACGCTCGTGTGCCTGGCCAACAAGGGCTTCCCCTCAGACTGGAGTCTGGCCTGGAAGGTGGACGGCATCAGCGGCGGCAGCTGGGAGGAGAGCAGGGGCCCTGCGGTGATGGAGCAGGACGCTCGTTACAGCTGGAGCAGCACCCTGAGGCTCTCTGCAGGCCAGTGGACGAAGGTGGGCTCTGTGACCTGTGAGGCCACCCAGGGCTCCCAGACGCTGGTCTCAGAGACACTGAGGAGGGACCAGTGTTCCCAGGACTGAGCTGTATCACCTGGACTCTGCTGCTGGTTTCCCCCTGCTGTTGTTTCACTTCTGAAACTGCCCTCAGTTTGCACGCTAAATGCCTTCTTTCCCTCTCTATGATTTTATGTTTCAACGTTAATTTTTCTCGCCTTTTTTATTGACAGTTTTTCTTAAATTGAGCAAAAGAATAAAAATGGAATCAAACAGTGTTCGTTGTGCATATCTTTCATTTCTTAACAGGTTAACAATTTTTGAACGGACTTTGGTAAGTTCATCTAAAGAATAAAAAAAAAAATAGCAATGGAAAACTTCCAAATAATCTTATATCATCAAAATCTGCTGTTGAAGATGGTGAAATGTCTCAATCTGATGACTGATGTGTTGAATTGTTAAATCTCTGAAAATAATGAAGGTGGGTAAGAAATGTGTTACAAATAAAACGGATGATATCATCAGCATAAAGTGATAAAACATTGCTTCTGGCATTTTGTTCAATGCCTGCTCTTTGGTTGTCAAAATTAGATTTAAATACATAAATTAAAATCATGAGAACACACATTGTGGAAAGTTTATTCAAAGGCTTTTTGGTAGGGTTAGGGTTAAGACTGTTCTGCATATTCTGTTGGGATGTCAAAAGAAAACGATTTAATACTTAACTCATAAAAAGAGATATTTATCAATTAAAACAATTCAAATGTTTTTTAATTATTGACAGTAGTAAACTCCTTCTTTTACCTTTGGGTGCTTTGGGTGCTCTGCTTTTCTTGGATATAATTAGTAGGACTCTTATGGAAACAAGTTTGGAACCAGACTAACCTTTCCTCTGCAGGGCACCAGTTTAGCTCAGTTGATAGAGCAGGCGCTGTATTTTATATATTTGTGGCGGCAGTAGCTCAGTCTGTAGGGACCTTGTTTGGGAACCTGAGGGTCGCTGGTTTAAGTCCCTGTACACATCAAAGTATGGAAGCTGCCAGGTCCCAGGTCACTCTCCGAGTGCTATAGAGGTGTCCTAGAGCAAGACACTGAACCCCCCAACAGCTCTGTTGTGCTCCCTGTGTCGCAGTGTGTAGCAGCCCCACTGACATCTCTCCAGGTCCTGATTGTGTTAGTGTGCACAGACATCATGTCCACAAGTTTTCAGATGTTACTGCACTCGTGCACCTACTTACCCAAGGCAATAATCTGACCAACAAAAACAGAGATTGAATTTTTAGTCAGCTGGTGTGATGCATATTGAATGTTGGAAAGTATTATTGATTTTAGAAGAAAGAAAGACGATGTTTCCCCTCACAGCAGATCCAAACTGTCCAGTTTCATAAAAATGTCGATGTCTTCATGGACAGTAAATTAAATTGGAAAATGGACACTGATGTGTCTTTAAAGAAGGCTCAGTCAAGACTCTTAAGGAAGCTTAGATCCTCTGACTTTAGCAAGAACCTTCTGTATGTTTTGTATCTTGGCTAGTGTCCTCTTTTATTCTGTTCTGTGCTGGGGGGGGCAGCTTCTGTTTAGATGACACAAATAAGATCAATAAGCTGATCAAAGAGGCTGGCTCTGTGATCGGCTTTACCCCACACTCTCTTGAAGTCACCTTTGAGAAGAGAACGAGGACAACACTAAAAATCTTTTCATAAATATCTGACATATGCCAAGGGTTCATTTTGAAATGCTAAGTACTGTATAGTGGAAATATATGATATTGAATAACTGATTGTGTAGTTTTTGTATTACAGGGAAGAGGTGATGGAAACCAGTCAGTGTAGTGTTTGAGTGTGTGTCCTCAGTGAAGTGTGTCAGTCTCTGCAGAAGCTTCCTGCTGCAGCAGTTAGTCTGGTTTCTGTTCAGGCTGACTGAGGGAGGTTTTTGTACGACGCTTTTTCACTGTGTGAACACCAACTCACTGTTGATGATATGTAAAACTCTGACAGTAGTAAACTGCTGCATCTTCAGTCTGGACTCCACTGATGGTCAGAGTGAAGTCAGAGTTTGATCCACTGCCTGTAAAACGATCTGAAGTCCCTGATTCTCGAGTGCTACCTAAGTAAATCAGCAGTTTAGGAGTTCCTCCATCTTTCTGTTGGTACCACGCTAAATAGGGTTCGTCGTTGCCCGTAGTAACTACATCCTCACTGGTCCTACATGAGACAGTGACAGAGGCTCCCAGAGCAGATCTCACTGCTGCAGACTGAGTCACTGTGACCTGTCCTCTGGACTCTGAAGAGACAGAGACAAACACATGAAGCAGCATCAGGGTTGTGTGGGCTTCATTTCAGAGAGACGGATGTTCATAGAGGAGAGGAGTTTGATTGTCTGGACTTTACCTGTGAAGCAGCAGCAGAGGAGGAGAGTCCAGATGAGGACGCAGATCAAAGTCATGTTTTTGGATGACGAGGAGGAGGAGGATTTCTGTGTCTCCTGTTGTGATGAAGGACAGCTGTCAGTCCTCCAGTGTTCAACTCTCAGGACTTTAAACTCTCCCCGAGCACTGGAGCATGCTGCTGCTCATGCAAAGTGGCTCTTTATGGAAATGATGGATTTCAATCACTCAATGAGCTGATCTGATGATGAGTCTTTCAAGTATTTTAAAAGTTTTCTGAAAAGTATTTCAGTAGCTTTAACAATTATTTTTCCACAAGTTTCAGTTTTTCATATACAAAATTCAAACAACATTTAAACTATTCTTTAAAACCTGAAAAAGTATTTTGCCAACTTTTTTTGTGTTGCTTGTGTTTGCCCTTTCTCAAGGATTAAAAATGTTCTTTTAATGAGAACAATTTTGAAAGTGGATACAACATATACAAAGACTTATCACAGAATTACAGCAAAATTCTGAATTTGTCTTTTGCAAACCAAACTTCACTGCATCTAAAGTCTAAAACAAGTAGCTCATAACGTCTTGTTTTAAGTAGTGAAACGTGTCTGTTGTCACGGTTAAGCAGTGGTGCCTGTCTGTTGAATGGTTACTGAGCTAAGAGAGGGAAGTGAAATGTTTCAGACCAGCTTCATCTTCTCTGAAGAAGACTGACAGATGCAGTCGTGTCCTCGGCTGCCACTTACGAGAAAAAGGGTATTTGACCTCCCTTAATTATCATTGATCTCTCTCTCTCTCTCTTTGCAGTGCTGCTCCACTCCAGTGTGCATCGGACTCAAACATTTGAGTCCAGTGTGCATCGGCCTCAAACATTTGAGTCCAGTGTACATCGGACTCAAACATTTGAGTCGGATACAGCCTGACTTTGCAGAGTGTAAGCCTGGCCTAAACAGAAAAAAGTCATTTGGGAGATTTGGTTTTCCATCTAGCAACACAAAAGTGTCAGCATGACGTATTTCTAGTCATGTGACTTCCTGCAATGTGACAATTGTACTAAGAACCCAAATGCACAAATCCAAACACACTTAGAGAAGATACAAAGTCTGTTTAATCAGAGGGGAGGTCAGTACACGGGAATCTAAATCACAAGCAGAGGTAATCAAAACGTTGGGCAACAGGCAGATCAGAAAATACAGAAAAAGGTCGGAATAATAATCGGAAAAATACACAATGAAAGCTGGAACGTTGTCATGAGGGAACAAGAAGAACTGGCATAGAAGGAGGGAAACACAGAGACTAAATACTCAAGGGGAGCGAAGACAACTAGACACAGGTGAGACACATCAGGTAATCACAGACGCAGGAGACACAGGTGAGAGTAGAAGAAAGCAAAGGATCTGAAACGAGATGCAGGGTAAGTGTCAAAAACACAAGATGTAAAAACATGAGAGTAACTGAAACCACACACTATCCTGGAGATGTGTCATAACGAGCCAAACTGTCCATCAATCCGATCACACACTGATGGTGATGCCTTCAGGAACCATTTAGGTTGCTTCAACTGGGGATCAAACCGCTGTACCTCTAAGCCACAGCTTCCCCATACAATGACATTATTATTTTGTTTAAGGAAGTATTAGCTTTAGGTAGTATATTGACTTTAAAAGGGACCAAATGAAATACGATGTCTTGAGTTAGTTCTTCTTATAATTATCTCCCATGCTTAAAAATTGTGTCCTTGTCGTCTTGTATGTTTCATTCATCTTGCTTTAAAGCATTGTCTTCTTCTCCTTCATGTTTGATGAATAGTTTCATGTTACAATTATCTATTGTTTCAGTGTGTTCCTCCAAGAGGACAATTTGGGACCTCTATCAGTATCATTTCCCTCTTTCAGCCACTAGAGGGCAGCAGAGTACGTCTTTTAAAAAATGGCCTTATCTCCTGCTCGGTTCATCCACCAGACTCAGTTAATAAATCCAGACTGTTACTGAAGTCCAGACTGCAGCTCATTCAGTATCTCCACAGAGACTCTAACTGCAGAGGATCACTTTCCTCCTCGTACTAGAGACGAGGACATTCAGCTGACGTAGCCACAGGCTGTGTGGCATGAAGCTACACTACAGGCACGTGTCGACATATCTAATGTGTCTGGGGGATCTTTTAGGCTCCACGGTGACGAGCAGTGATGGAGGGGATCATCTGATAGTCAGGGAATCCACCGGTTTGAGGAGGGAAAAGACCACAGCACTGAGGCTGTAAAACAATGACTTTCTGAAATTCTCTCTAGGTGGCACTGTTCCACTTTGTTAATCACATTTTCTGCCTCTTTTTTTCACATTTCTATTAAATGCAACAACTTTATCGCGTGTAAACAAAACCAGTCGATGCTTGAAGGTCTGTCTTTATCTTATTGTTTCAACATTTGTCAACTCGTGATTCATAAAGTTTCTCTTCTGAACACTAATGATTGAACTTATTTCAAGTGTTTTGAAAAACATCTAATTTGAGCCAAAGAAACATGGGAAGCAAATTAAAAAGTAATAAAAAATATACTCCTTTAAAACTCTTTTTTTTTTGTTCAGGCAGACTGAGGCTGTGTTTAAATATTGTACAGATCGTATTAATTTACCACCGCGGAAATGGCGCTCAAGCAGGAAGACTGGTTTTATTCGCTCATACATATTCAACTTCTTCATTCAATTTATCCACTCTCTCTCTATACCACGTCCTCCGTCTCCCTGCTCTCATGATCAGCGGATTTGGGGCGTTTACTCTTATCTCGTATTAATCCAATAATTCTGTCACAACCTCTCTCAACCAATCATCCTGCTGTGGTCAAATTTGAAAACCTGTTCTCTCTCTTCCGCAGTCAGTTTGTCATTTCAGTGCGATCGCTG